GGGGGGGGGGGGCAGGGGCGAGGCGAGCGGCGGAGGGCGAGGGATGGGTTCAGTGTCGTGCCTGCAAAAAAACGATCATCATGCAGCGCAGTTGACGAGGAATAGTAGGTTGTCTTGTCTCTCCTCCTCGCTGCCAAGATTGATGTGCGAACGAAATTCAACCGCACCGCACCCAAAGCGAAACAACAGCAACAGGCTACCGGCAAATTACAGTTTATTCGAACAAGAACTGTCACTGACGCCCTTCGTTTACCGTTGGCAAGATGATCGTGCCGTTCCGCCCTCCTCCCCAATTATCCACATACCGAGTTATCATACAACGCGACCGGTTCCCAACAAAACAAAACGCCTCCTGGAGTCCAAGCAGGACAACAGGACGGCAAACCAACAACATCCAAAAGATAAATGCTACCCCAAGGTGTTCACTTCATGGTGTCGTTGTCTGACAAAAAAAAAAAAAGCCTGAGGGTCACGGAATAACACCGACCCTCTCAGGTCGCGGTTCCCCTCGCCCCGCCACCCCGACCCACCCCCCGCGCTGGTGGCTGGTGGCAACATCCACCCCCCGACCCTTTTCGACTAACCTTTCTGATATCCGATGACATGTGTAGGACGGCGGCACTTGTCGGCGAGTAGTGACGGTAGCGGTAGCAGTAGAAGCCACGATACGGAAGCAGCAGAACTCCCCCCCACCCCGTTCGATAGTCGACATAGCAGTCCCCCCCACCCCCCCACCCCCCGCGCCCGGACATCCACACCGATGAATCGAATCCCAGCACGCACTCAGGATGGGATGCAAGAAACGGGTTCAGGGGTGGTTTGTAGCCAAGAAGAAAGGGGGGGAGGGCAGCAGGAGAGGTAGGTGCCACGGGCCGCCCTGAACCACGTCCAACCTCTCCCTTCTCGCAGAGTCAAAGGAAAGCCTCTTCATCCTCTCAGTGCCAAGTACGTCGGAAAGGGTGCCCGCGAAGCGAGAGAGGATAGAAGGTTCGGGTGCTTCTCTCTCTCTCTCTGTCTGTCTCTCTTCTGTCCGCGTTGTCCACAAGAAAGGAAAAGCCGCGATTTTTCGACACTGGCTGGGTATGAACTCCCATGAGGCCACCACGACCACCATCACCCCGTGCACGAAGAGACAGAGAAGATGGTTGAGGGGCATCGATGGATGAGCAGCATTGGGAGCGAGACCGCACGAACACAGACAACACAGACAAGACAGGGGGCAAACAAAGGTTCCTGCTTTTATTGCCTGTCTTGCCCTTCTCCGCGGCTTCGACGAGTCACGCGTTCTTTTTTTTCGGGAGGGGCATCGGTAGACGACGATTCACTCGGACATCGCCACCAAGGAAATCGCAAAAAAGAAGACGAATCTTGGTCCGAAATATACGGGGGGGGGGCACGAGGTTGGTGAACAGACTCGGGGCTCATCTCCCGTGTCTTCGATACGCCGGAGGATGCAGCAAAGGGCAGGGGATACTGGGTCGGCAGGAACGCATAGATGCTGCCGCTGGACACAACACCGTCGCCGACGCCCAAACTTCCCGATCAAACCGGCATTGCTCGCGGGCAATCGGTGCGGGTCGAGTCACAGAACGGGTCACCCACACATTTTGAGCTGCTAGGAATGGAAGCGGCCTAGCCATAAAAGCGATGCCCCCCCTCCCCCTAGCGCGCCCCAAACGCCGGGACAAAGCGTCCATGAAAACCCCACCATCGCGGCTACAATGGGGGCGTGTACATAGCCACGGTGTGGCGGGGACAAGGCCCTGTGCGGTACGGTAAGGTGCGCGGGTTGGAAGGGCGGTGTTGTTTCCCGCGCCAGAGAGGGCAGCGACGGTAGGTGGTAGAGCAGGCACCTGCCGTGCCAGGCGCGAACGTTCCTGCGCCTCTCCCAGTGAACTCAGGACGGAAGGAAGCTAGGAAGGGCTGGTTGACGCCTTATTCTTCGAACCGAGGAAATAACCAAGCCCCGGCTAGCGGCGCACAAGACAAGGCCCGGTCGAGTGAGCAGGGAGCGGGGACGAGAGCGGACGAAGACATGGCGGCTACGGTGGATGTGTTTCGCGGCTCGTGGGAGGGAGGAATGGCCAGCTCCCGTAACAACAAGCAGCAGTGGTTCAGGCGCAGCAGCAGTGGATGTGCGGTACACGCACGTGGCGTGCGCTCTCTTTGCACGCAGCAGAACGAACACAAAAGGGCGCTTGTTACATCATGCATACAAGTACGAGTCTGACGAATCTCGTTAAATTAAATTTAACGTATTCTACACGTGTTAAAACGTATCTACACACACTTGCTGCCATGTACCGTGCCTGTGTACAATGGAACACGGCAACTTAAAGTGGTACTTCACACCAACGCACACGAAAGACTGGGCAGCTGTAGACGGCAACACCCGCCAACAACCACGCACCACCTCTGTGGCAAACAAAGCACATTTGCCTTACCGCCAGCCACGACACACAGGCAGGGCGAGCACGGGGGTGGGCCAAAAAGGCACACACAAAACACACACGACACAACACACACCGGACACCCAGCGCGGAGCACCGAAGAGTCTCGTGAAAGCGCCCCCAAGAGCTCTTGGCATGGAAAAAGGCCGCGTCAAGACCCTAGGGGGGGGAATCAAGCCCTACGGGCTCCGTCAAGATTCTAGAGGCTCCGCCACAACTCTAGGGGCCCCGCGACTAGACGCAAGGTTTTGTTTAGCTTGTAGGCAACCTCTTGTGTGCCCCACCAACGTCGGCGCGGACACCACAAGCTAGATAGCTCGGTGCGACTTCCTTCTCTTCCTTTCTCTCGTCGCGCCGTGGTGTTTTCCGAGCACTGTCACACTACCGGCCCGTCTCGAGTGGAAAAATGGTCCCCGTGCAAAAAGAACCCAGGGCCAAAATCCAAACGATATCGGCTTGTGGCAACGCAGGTTGCCTCCCCCCCCCCCCCCTCCCCGGGCCAATGTCTTGGCACGCAACTCGGTTGGTAAGGCGACGGTAAAAAAAGGAGTTCGAGGTAGCGTCCATCCACGCCCTGGAATTCATTGATTTTACTCTCCAACTCAGAGACGAATCATTTGGAACGCACCCCCGATTCCGCCACTACCTGTGCCAACCGGTGTGGTGCCGAAAAGCCAACAGCAGAAAGAGGCCTGATAGACGGGTGTTGGAAGGAACAAAAAGGCCCCCCGAGGAAGGTTCTTCGCCGGAATAGACCAACACTGGCCACGGTAACGGCGCCCAGCGGATTGCCTCCAGACTGGCGTCTTTACCCAAGTGGGCGGCGGATCAGGTCGGAAACGACCGCCACGTTTGCAACCCCGAAGGACAAAACAAGACATGCCGAGAGAGAGAGAGGGAGCGCGACGGAAAGGGCAACAAGCCCGCGCGACACACAACATCAGCACGCTCCCAATCCCTCCAGCACCCCCAAACGGAATGCTCGCGACTATCCGTGTCGGCAGGGGGGCACGCAAACAGCCAAGATTTACAGGGGGGGGGGGGCTCTAAAACTGTTCACATTATCAACATGGGAAGAGTTCCTCCCCCCATCCCTCATCCCCCGGCACCACGAAGGTACCCCAGGAGGGTACACCGACACCTTCCTCTCTGACCCGAAAAAGGTACAGCACGGACACGGACAAGAAACACTTTTCAACGAAACAACACCGATCGATCACGCTCGTCGACCGAACGTCGAAATAAATCGGAGACAGAACAACACCTCAGACAAAAACCGGCTCAGGGTTTGCAAGCACTGCCTGGCGACCAAAACAAACAAACACCGTCGTCTCCGCAACGCTTGCCTTTATGGTAGACGTCTGTTGGTTGATATTCACGTCATTACCTATGCATACGTCATAATAAAAACAAAAAACTGTGTTCCGGCAACAGGGGAAACGTTTGCCGAGCGGGTCGTCCTTTCTTTCTCCTAAGTGGCCCGGGAACTATGAATTAATAATTTGCGTAGAAACTGTGTGTATCGCCGCTAAACTTGCGGATACATCCGGCATACGCCGATCAAATACACAAAACACCCGTGGGCATTCGTGCAACACACAGCCGTCGCGACCTCAACATTTTCTGTTGTTGGTCCCCCGCACGGAAGGCTGGCTTTGGGCGATGTTGAGGTTTAAAAAAACGCCGAATTATTTTCTGTGACTGATTTACGCGTACACGCCCCTTCTACTCTGATCGCTTTTGCGTATTTTGGAAATATAGCGCTCAGGATAAAACCGCAACAACAACAAAAAACGCTTCAAACGATCAAAGCGACAAACAATGACAGACACAACGACTCTAACCTCAGCACTCCTACAAAACAGCGACGACCCGACAAGCATGAACACGTTATGAAAAAACGACGAAATAGAACAGGTAAGGCTGTCAAGACTACGCAGGCGATACTGACATGACCGTTTAGCGTCGAGCAATGAACCATACTTGGTAGAGGCGGTAGTGGTAGCAGTAGCAGTAGCGCGTAGAGCGGCGGCGGCGTCGAGGGCCTTGATCTTGGACAGCAGACCCCCGGACTTGTGCGCAGGCACTCTTTTCACTGTCACGGAGGTATTCTTCGTCACGACCACGTTGTCTTCTTTGTACTCTTTTTTTTTTTTTCGGCGCAATTTTGTGAGCACAAGCCGAAAGTTGGACCCATTCCGCAGCGGGCGAGCGCCAGGTTTATAGCGGCGACGAAGAGGGGGGGCGGAATCGCGGGCAAGGGGGGGGACGAGGGAAGCAGTCAGGATAGGGTGATGTGAGCCCCACCACGACCTTTTTCGGTTCACCGGCATATTCCAATGTGCGGAACCATCAAGAGTCGTATGCATACCTACCGCAACATACTCGTGGTGATGTCTAGCTCGATCGACAGCAACTCTCCGGTCAAGATCGCTTGCACTGCATGGCGTGCCCGGAAAGGGCAACCAAGGCACAAGGGACACACCGCGCGCAGTGGACGGCGCCCACTCTGAACAACGGGCTGAAACCGAACGAGAGCATCAGGCTCTAAATGCTCTTTTCAGTCGGATCGTCATCACAACGACCACCACGCCATCATTACGACAACAGCATGCATGTCGCGGTTTAAACCACAACAGGCACCGAACACCACCAACATCACCACGTCAACACCACCAACATAACCACATCGGAACCAACGCCAAGACACAAGTTCCTTGCTGCAGGGTAACCACGACGCGTTTTATGTGTTTTTCGTTCCGACCGCAGCGGTGGTATCCTACGCGGAACGCATCACTTGCCGCCTAGTTGTTGCCGGGCACAAGCCTGATGTCGGGAGTCACGCCCTAAACACCCGACGTCAAAATTTCCATACACCCCCCCCCCGCAAACCCCTGGGCCGGCGAAAGCCCGGCATATCGCTCCGTCCCGGCATTGTAGGGCGCGGGCCCGATGGTCTACCGACTACTGTACGGCATACGACTACACCTGTACACCTAACAATACCTCCCCCCGGAACCCCGCCATGCCTCTCGACACGCCAAAAAAAAAGTACAGCAGTAGCCTGAAACCCACTACCAGGCGCCCTCTTGGTTCTTGTCGCTGACGACGACAGCAAACCTTGTGGCCCCTCGTCGTCGTGTGCACGTAGAAAAAAAAAAAAGCAAACGATGCTCGGGCCGAACCATACACCACAAAAGCGTCTCGTAACCCCACCTCATCTCGCTCCGTCCAACCTCCCACCTTTACCATTGTATCGTTCGCAACAGCACACCAAGTCAATGCCCCGCGAACATCCCTTTTCCACCAGAAAAAACAAAACAGACACAAGAAATTCAACTCCCCCCCCCCAACCCAGTTATGCACCTTCTCTTGTTTTGTCGTTGACGATGTTAAGGTCGAACTCCATCCCCTGGTGCAGCTTCTTCTGTTCCACGATGGCCCTCTTGAGGTCGAGCAGCTTGATGCCGGTGCCCGGGAAGGACACCGAGTCATACTCCCGCGCCGACTTGAACTTAAACTTCACCATGGATGCCATGTCTTCTTACAGTCACCGCCGCGTAGAGCAGTCACAAACACACACGTACCACTTTTTTTTTGGAGGCTCTTGGGTGCTTCTGAGCTGTTCGGGCGAGAGAGCCAATCAGTGCGCGAGAACAGGGGGGACGGCGGTGGCGGGGAGGGGCGGGTAAGGAACTAAACACATGGACACTACGTACAAACGCATCGGTTAGTATGTAAATGGGGTTGAGCAAGATCACCTTGAGAGTTCCTCTGCGTCGTTTGCAGGGTACAGGGTGTCGCATATAATTTCACCCGATGTGGGTGCCGCTGCTCCTGTCTGTGCATGCTGAACAAGCAACGCACTTGGGGGCTGTTTGTGTCCTGCTCTTTTTTTTCTCAGTGTTTCCCCTGTCGGCGCTCGCGAGTAACAAGTCTCAACCAGTCTACCCGTGTCGTCTGTGCGTTCGGAAATTGTCCGCTACATATTGCTGTGACGTTTGTGGGTACAGCAGTAGAACCTCAGAACCTCAACCTCAATTAATGCATCTCTCCGATACAATGGGGTTATGCTAATACATTATAACTGCTGTACCCTAATTATAGCCCTTCTGGATCGATGGGGAAGACAGAAAAAAGCTGTTGAGCAAATCAATTTCTTTCGCGCCACACATCTGAGAGAAAACTCCATCCAACAGGCACCCTGCGCCCTCTATGCATACATACGTCTGCTATAATCAGAGCGGTTCGTTCATTTGCATATGGAACATGTCACCCGTTGTTGGCAACGGGGGGGGCACGGTCCATCCCCTTGTGAAAATCGAATCAAACAAAAGTCATTTGAACGATTCGGAGAAAGTGTGCCCCGAAAACGAGTAGACTAGTTTTCGCTCCCCGCACAGATAAATGAAAGCACCGTGCGAGTCATGGCAGAGCGCAGGCAAGCGCACGCTTACACCATCATACCTGGCCCGTTTTATCTCTAGCGTGGTAGATCCAACCGCGCGTCGTAGCTTTGCTTGCTAGCTGCCGCCTCCCCTCTTGTCTCCCGCGCAGAAATAAACGCCAAGTGAGACAAAGAGTACAGCCTCTTTTGGTACCCCGCCGATGTGGCGTTATTTGAACGCGCCACCGCTCGCAGTCCTCCTTGCCCACGAGCTTTGTTTCTCTCCGGCCTCGGAAATCTGCTAGGGTGGGCCGGCCCACGCACGATGCCTCTCCTCTTCTCCTCCCCCCTCAAACGCGGACACGTTACTCCTTCGTTGGTTTTGTGGGCAAACACGCGCACGGCCCCCGTTGTTTTGGGCCTATCTCATGGGAGAGTTGTAACGCAACGACCGCCCCGTCGTAGCGGGTATGCCGGAAGGGACGCGTGGTGGACGGGGTAGCAGCTCCCCTTCCCCCCTCCTCCGTTGTCTTCGCGCGGAGCAGGAGGCACCGCGTGGCAGGTGCTGGTGGTGTGGGTGTTGTTGCGTTTTGCGTGTTGCGTGTTGCGCAAGCACGGGGACAACGCAAAGTGCATTGGGGTTTGATTGAAAATATTTTGGCTTTGTTTTATCTGCGTTGCCCCTCCCCCCCCCCCTACATCCTCTTCCTCCTCTAGGGGCACGGACGGAGAAAATTGTGTCTGACCAAGAGAAGCAGAGACGAGCAAATCAGAGATGCAGAATATAGCACAGCAGTAGAGCGGACTAGACACGTACACACCCCCTCGTCACGTGTACTGGAGGTTACCCACGCTGCGTGACCATGGACCTTCGCCATCGGCGCTGCGGGCTGGTTGCGGCGGCGGGAGCGATGGCCCTTCTCGCCAACAAAGTAGCGGATGTGCAAGGCTTTGCCTTCAGCTTGCAGCAGAAGACGGCAGCGTCAACAGCTTCGGCTACCGCTGTTGGGCGCAGCAGGGCTGCTGCTGCCCCCTCGCGGGAAGTTTGCGCAAGGAGCGACGGGAGTACTAGGCCCGTCGCTGCTACGTCGTGGAGCTCGCGCCGCACGCGAACGGCGTTGAGGTGCGTGCACAGGGACACAACCGCCCACTGCTGTGTGTGTAGTAATCCTGCTGGCGGTGCAGGATACGTGAGTCTAACAGCCCAGTTTTTCACCAACAAACCGCCCCCGTGCTTGATCCGCACGTTGGCATGGGATTGAGTGGGGAGCAGTAGTTCACGAAGGCGAGTGGGCAGGGCCGTTACATCCCGTGCTGGACGCGCTGGCATGCGGTAGAAGAACGACTTCAAGCATGACACGCTAATATCTGCTGTTTATGCTTTAGAATGGCTCCTTCATGTTGATGTCTGTACAAGGGCATAGTTTTTTTTCTGCGCTGGTCTGTGTGCAACCACTTGCTGTTGCTGTTGCGGTTGAAATGGAGGTTAACAGCTTGACACAGCAGCGGTTGTTCATGATGACGCAAGCACAGCAGCAGCGGTACATACAGCGGCAGTGGTGGGCATCACAAGCAGGGGGGTAGTGTCGAGTGTCACACAACATTAGGCGCGCCTTTGTCGGCAAAATGCTCAAATGCTCCCTCCTTCATCCACACGATGTGCACAACACTGCTGTAGACTAAATGCCTACCGGTACATGCGACGGCAGAAGTCTATCGAGTCTTGTACACTACTACTATTCCTGTACAGTAGTACGGACAACGTGACGCGAAAGTGCCTCTTTCTTAGAAGAACAATGAAGCAAGACAGCATACATACCAACGTCTGCTATCCCAAATCATTGACAATACAGCAGTAGTTGTTCTTCTTGCTGGTTCCTGCAGTCATGTCAGGCCTTCTTTCTTCGTCCAGAGCTACTGGTGTGGGCGCCCCGAACATGAACCCCCGATCATATACACTAGTTTTATCTTTTTGCGGTTGTGATGCCTGGAGCCACATGGAAGAACCGAACATTCCTTTCTCTACGTTAACGCCGCCAATCCAACGTGTATTTATACTATAAGTACATCGTGTGCATTATACCTTCGCAAGTAGGAAGGTGACTGGCGTTTCGAAGACAGCAGCAACAACATGCCCCCCCCCCCCCCGCGGCCTCTCTCTTAGAATGGCATCCGAGGAATCCTCGAGTCCTTCGGGGGGCGGAGCAACAGCGGCGGAGGCGATCCCTCCAGAAGGCGGAGGAGCCGGGGAAGGGATCGGGGGCGCGAAGGAGGTGTTGGCAGAGACGGCGCAGTCGGAGAAGCTCAGGCTGACCGCCGAGAAGCTCAAGCTGCAGGTAACGAAGTCCAGGTTGTGCCTATGGTTTGTGGGAGAGTCGGGTGATCGTTACAGGGCGCGCCGATAAGCTAAATAGGACGGGTCGTGATCACGCTCAGGAGGTAGAGAAATCGATGCTTGGGAGGCGGACGGGGACGGGACGGGACGGGGGGTTGGAGGGGGGGTGGCCCGGGAGGCGTGTCTATCTACACGTGAATCGTGGACACTTTTTGTGCTGTGTTGCAGTAGTATATGCGTACTTCGTAGATAAAAACCAGTGAAAACGCCAGCGTTAGGGCATATAAGTTGACGTGCGGGTTGGACAAGGGAGACAAGCCGGAGTCCTTTAGCAGCAGCATCGGCAGTCTTGCGTGGCCGTCTCGCGCCCGCCTGCTGCTGGCAGCGCTATGCGTGCGCTCGTGCGGAGTTGCCATGCCTAGTATTCAGTACTACATGTAGGTGGCATTCCCTGGAGGTAGTCTCCCCCCTCTTGCAAACCCTGCGCCCCCCTAGAGCCGAGGGAGGATTCAAGCACACTGTTAACAACACCCCATCCTTTCGTCAATGACTTTTTGACCTTTGACAAGGGCGCATGCGTCACGTTTCCTCTGGCCGTAAAATAACGGATTCATGCGCCTGTTACCACCGTTGTCGGCCTGGAAAGCATTCTGCCGCATCTACCTGTTGCTGGACTACTGCTGTGAACCGAGGGCGGTGTGTAGACTTTGCTGGATGGAGCTAATGGGTGCCGCCGACAAAGCTGACCAGCAGCGTGAAAAAAGCAAAACGCCTTTTTAGAAGCGAAACGCCTTTTTTTTTCCGTCAGCAGCAAAACGATCGACCCACCGAAGGAAGTGGCAGCCCCCTCTGTTGCGGCTGTGCCCCTCTGTAGATGTTGGTGTTGATGCGGACACCCCCCTTGCTACTGCAGGCGAATGCAGCCGCCCCTAGCGCTGGCCGTCGTCACAAGGTACCCATGCTCATGCGCACTGCTGTGTTGTGATCGTGCCGTTTGCAACACAGCAAGAAAAACTTAATTTGTGTTTTTTGTGTACTCTTTCGTTTCTGATTTGAAATTTTTATCAGGCGGAAAAGCTTCGGCTGGAGGTGGAAAAGGAGCAGCTGATCTTGCAGGCAGAGAAGTTGCAAGACAAGGAGGTACGTATGGTGATGTTTTGGTCGACGTACCCTTTTTTTTCTGTACTGTCATGGGCGCCAACATGCCACATGTTTTTCTTTGTTTCTCGGAAGGTCCCTGTGTGACATGGGTTGTCGGGTTGTGTCGCTACCCTCTTAGCTCTGTTACTAGTGGCTTGCGCATTGCCACCACTGGTATGCGTGCCTTTGACTGTAACGTGCAGACTTGTCAAAGGTTACGGGTGTTGCAGGGCGCACTTGAGGTGTCGGGAGTCCTCCTCGCCCCCCCCCTCTGTCCTGCCGAACGTAACCACAAGAGATAGTCTCGCAAAATCATGCGACGCCGGCACGCCTGTGCCAGCAATAGCAATAGAGAAAGCAACAGCGAGGGCAGCCACCAAAACCCACGAGCAAAGGCACAGCAGTTGTTGCCGGATCGTGTTAAGTTTATGTCAACTACTTTTAAAAAAAACATATGTTCGATGTTGTGCTGCGCGTTGGTGCCCCCGTTGAAACCTCCAGGCGTTGGAAGGGAAGCAAGACGCGCTGATCGGGAAGCTGCGGGAGCTCAACGGCCGGGACGAGGAGCTAACGGCGTTGGTGAAGAAGGAAATCAAGAAGGTGCGTGCGTTACCAAGAAACAGCCCAAGTGTTCGGCTGCTGCTCCGTATGATAGGCGTGTTTTTTGTACAACGACTGCTGTTAATCCGTAGGTGATTTTTTTTATCATTCCACGACAATTTTGTCCCATACTAATTTCAGTACTGTCTTATAATCCAACCCAAACCAAAGTACTGAGTACAGTCTTTTAATCCAATCCAAACCGACAAGAACACTGGGCGCAATCGTCTACGGAGAAACAGCCTACTTACCAAGCGTTTGGTAAGCACCGCTTGCGGGGCGTTGGGAAGGCCTTCGGGGACGATGCGTCGGACACGAACAGCGGACGCAAAAGAAGCACATTCTTTCGCGTAACACCACGTTCGCACTCAGTACCTTGATATGTTAGCTTTCCACGAACACATGGTCATGTACCCCCTGCCCCCCTCTACGTTCTGTCTTTTCTGTTTCTTGTTCTTAGAAACCTCGACGCGTTTCAACCCTAACCCATAGATGCGAGTGTTGATGGGGTCAAGCATGGAAACGAGCCCCAATCCCCCCCCCCCCCCCACTCCATCCGGCCAGGTGAACGCCGACTTGTTCATGCGGTTGGCGGATGTGGCGGAGACGACGCTGGATGTGGAGGAAAGGTCGGTACATGAACATTCAATACGAAGCACTTTTCTAGGCCGAACTTTTTTTTTACGGCAACGCGTTACGGAATGTTCGTTCTCTGTGGTTCTGTTCTTGGTTTAGTTGGCCCGTGCGCTATAGGGCTTATTCTGAGTAAGCTTGTGGCCTTTGAAGGAAGATCTGTTTTGCTTGGAGGGCACGGAAAATAGCAGGAGCTGGATGGCGGTGAGAGTACATTTTTTCTTTACCGCGAAGACAAACCAAGACGTTTGTACACCAGAGAGGTATGGGCGCGCGTGAAGCAAAATGAACAAAAGTATCGTTAAAGTAAGAGGGGTACTTTTAACGCGAGGACAACGAAGAAGTTCGAACAACAGAGTATCAGCGCGCGTGAAGCAAAGAAACACAAAAGTGACGTGCCTTGAAATTGCGGGCGAATGCAGATGTGCGATCGAATTTGCCTATACAATTATGCTCGATTGCCCCGCAACCAAGAACTTGCCAATGCTGAAACCGCTGGAATTTCTGGGAAATATCCCGTCGAGAGCTGGCCTTTCCTTGCGGCTGTCGGCCGAACTTCGCACCCTCTTGCGGAAAGTATGGCACATGGAGCTTTAGGAATCAGTATCTCACCACTGTGTATTCGCCCGTGCTTTTACGGTAGCTCGGACGAGCATCACAGCAGTGTCGATAACTCGCAGTCATACGTTTTCCACTTTTTCGAGTGCCCCAGCGGATAGAGAGAGAGAGAGAGAGAGTTCTCTCACCCCCCCTCCGTTGCTATTGTGGGGCATTGTAAGTGGACTGAGCAGGCGGGAAGTGATACCGATAGGATAAGACAGAATAGGAAATATTTTTGGCCCACTATTGGCAAAGTAGGAAGGAACGGTTGACAATGAGTTCACGGTCCTCTGGGAACATTGCTCCATCCTCTGCAGGACGCGTGGTCAATGGTGTAACCGGCAAATAAGGCATGCAAAACATCAGTACGCTCGCCCGCCCCCCCAGGAGGCCTGAGGCCGAGCATGACACCTCCCTCCAGTACCTGCAGGAAAAGAGAGCTTAAAACATACTTCGAAGGAGTAGTCAAACCAAAACGGCACCAACACGAACCACTAGTAGTACCGGCGATCCGGCGATGACCATAACAGCAGCAGCAGCAGCAGCAGCAGCAACAACAAACAGCTCCCCCTCGGCGACCGATGTGTGTGGTGATCTTTGTCTCACAGGAACAGTCTGGTGTCGCTAAGCGAGGATGTCATGCGGGCGGTGGACAGGGTGGACAAGGCGAAGGCGCTCAAGGTTTCCAAGGGAATCAAGTGAGCAAGAGCGTTATATGCGTGTTGGGTTGGGATTGATAACCGGGGCCAGCAGGCCGGCTGGCGGGGGGGGAATTACGCGTTTTGTTTTGGGAGAGGCGGGGGTGAGGGTGACAGGGGTGGGGAAGCAAATACATTCAAGACTGGCCATGTAAGTAAGACATGCTCGCTGCGGTCTATTGGGCGCGTCGGGGAAAGATCGCAAGGTTCAACGGGGAGGTTTGGCAAGCAGATAAGCCGGCACACCAGTCACCCTTTGACTTTTCAAGAACGTCGCGGTGAAGTCCTCTCGCAGAGACGCGACAGGAATATGGACGGAGGCGTTTTTTTTTGGTTCTCTGCGACTCTTGTATGTATGCGTTGGAGTTGTGATGCGGTTCCATAATCTCGTTTGCGCTTTCGCTCCCCCGCCTTTTTTGTTTCGGATCTCGTTGTGCTGCCTCGACTTTTTCGTTTCCGCGTTTTTCTCCCCAGGGAAATCTTGGACAGGGCGGAGGAGATCGAGAAGGCCACAAGGGCACGGGCTGCGGCACAAGCGCTAGTCCAGGTGTGTGCCTGTTTGTCTCAGCGTGTACTTTGCTTTTTCTAACCCCCCTCCCCCGCAAGGCGCCTCGCGCTTGGTGATGTGAGAGCCTGGTCCGGTGAGAACCCGGCCTGCTCCGTCCCGGCTTTGTAGGGATTCGAGGTCAATGGTCTAGCGACTACGCATGCGCGGCTTCATGTATGGTACACCCCGTCCACTCCTCGCGGGTTTGGGGTGAAAAGGGCAGACTACCGTAAGAGGCGGAGAGATGTCGCCCCCCCCCCTAGACCGACTTCCGAAGCCCGATTTTCTCAACAACCAGGGGGGGGGGGGGTACTCATAGTCGTGCATGCCGTAGTCGTTAGACCGTTGACCTCGCATGCCTGCAAAGCCGGGACGGAGCACTCCGGGTTCTAACCGGAGGAGGCTGTCACATCACCAAGCGCGAAGCACCGTGAAGTATTCGGCGGGTCGCATGAAGGGTGCGCTGCATCCTACTCAGGGTGTTCGACATCAACCACGGGGGTGCGGGAATAGCCCGATACGCGTACGGGAAGCCCTCGACGAGATGTTGCCCTAAACCACCACTTTTGGTGTTGGCACCATGTTGGTTGTGGAACAGTCGAGCTTTGAACATCGGTCTAGGAGGGTTGCCATCTCTCCGCCTCCTACAGCACCTTACCCTCGTCCCGCCCTGGGCAGCATGGTGAAGGCGTAACAGTTGGTCCTTAGCACGCGCATTCAGTAGGTCGCATGGGCGGCTAACACTCAAGACGACCCGAAGAGCCGTCTGCTACGATGCTTGGTGATTTAAGCGGCCCCTCGCCCCCCGTCCTCCACCTGAAAATGTTGTTATGCACCGGAGCCCCCGTCTTGCAGCGGCCATTCAAATGGAGCACCCTCCTTCTCCCCCCCCCCCTCCCGCCTCCAACCGCGTACCCCCTGACCCCGCTTGGTATGTATCCCCCGGCTACACACACAAGGAGAATTTCCAGCTTGTTGTTGTCCTTGTGAAACGTAGGCTGGGCCGGCGAAAAGCCGGCATATCGCTCCGTCCCGGCATGCGAGGTCAATGGTCAAACGACCTGTCAATATGAGTACCCCTCCCTATCCCCCCCCACCCCACCCAAACAGGCCCAAAACGCGTCCTACGGGACGATCTCCGACAACCTGTCGGCGAACAAGGGGAAGGAGGGGAGTGTGGAGGACATGCTCGACCTGCAGGCTCTGCCGTCCTCCAAGATGCAGGACCTCAGAAATCTCGCGGGGATGGGCGGCGCGGGAGGAAAAAACAGGTCCGCGTTCCGTACCCCTTGTTGTCTCATCCATTGCGGTGTGCTGTGGTGTTTTGAGGCGGCCGTGTGAGGGTGCGTCACCGTTGGATCGTCTGTGGTCGGGTCGGACTATTTAATAGTACAACAGCCGTAACTCCTGGAAGGGAGTTAAGGAGGTCTCGTTCGACCTGTGGCGTGTCTACTTTCTTTGGGTTAGTATCGACAGCGCAATTGCAAAACCTGCTGACCAACGATTGAAAAACTTGAGCCCTGTACACAGCTGTCTTGAAGTGTCATGGGGGTTGTTTTCTGGCTGTGTAGTGGCGGGCGGGTGGGGGCCAGGCAGAAGGCGAGAAAACCGTGGACTGCTGCTGTGTGATCTTGGCGGTGTGTGCGACTGGCAGCGGGGGGGGGAGGGGGAGAAGCAACCGCAGAACCCCCTCTTGTGCTCGTTTATAGTGTTGTTTCTAAAGGTCTTGGTCAAACCTCTACGACTAGAGGGATATGAAGAGACTACAACGAAAAAGGCTCGTCTAGTCAGTAGTCACGATAACGGTCGCCGTGTGAACATGGCGGGGCATGGCAGCAAGATGCATGGTCGTTGCACTTCTACTCTCTCTCACTCTCTCACTCTCTCTCTCTTTGTTTCCCTTGCTCTCTCTCTCGCTATTTCGTTTTTTTTTTTTTTCGTGTTTTGATGTATGAAACGATTACTCCAGCACCGCGGAAGGTCTCCCGACGGTGCTGTCGGACGCGATGAACGTGATGTTTCTCCCGCTCTGGGTACCCACGTCGCTGCTCAAGTTCGTGGGATCGGCGCCGGCCCTACTTGAGGCTGACATCGAGACCGTCAAGTCGGACGTGAGAAGGGTTAGATAAGACAGAAACGAGAGAAATGGGGGGTGTACTCACGCCGTAGCCGTTAGACCATTGGCGTCGCATCCCTACCATGTCGGGACGGAGCGATATGCCGAGTTTCGCGGGCCCAGGCTGAGTTTGACGAGGATGAGCCAGTCATCATCCTTTGCGTTTGTTGTGCCAAACCAGACGTGCCATTATTTACATGCGGGGGGGCTGGTATTATTCACCGTATGTAAACGGCAGCGCTTCCAGGCTTCGTTCGGTATCTAGCTTGAACGTTTGTTGTTGCTGTGCAAGTACGGCGTGGGTTGAGCGTGTTGTTGTTGTACGGGGCTACTCCTTGACGAACTGTACCACGCTTAATCCACACCCGGCGTATGTCTGTGTTTGTGTTGTAGACTGTGCCCCTCTCCGCCCCTCTCCGGGTTTCCCGTGGATTTTATTTCGCGCATTTTTTCTTTGGGTTGTTTGATGGGTAAGTGGCACAAAGTAAAAGTGCTCCGCGTCCGGTCGACATGAGACTCAACCAAGCACGTGGTGCTACCGTTTGAATGGAAGCCCTTGCTGGAATGGGGGTCTTTTATCTGATGTGAAGTAGAGAAGTAGGTTGATGTTGTTTTGGAAACAACACAAAGAAATAAACATAGCCATCTTGAGCTATTGCGACTGAAGGGAAGTCACTCGATCGGTCGTACGAATGCCACCTGAACGGCGCAGGTGCTGGGGATGAAAACGTTCTACGTCACCGGGATGGAGAAGTCTCCCTTTGCGGCACTCTACAGGGGCAACATGAGGGGAAAGAGCAGCGAGGAGGTGAGTGAAGGGGGGGGAAAGCACAAGGAAAATATGCTGTAATAGAACGTACACACCTGACGGAGTCAATGAAGGGGCAGAAGAAACAGGATTTCGAGAAGAATGAAATGAAAAGAACCGCACAGAGGTTGTGGAGGGACAGAACATCACGAGGAGTTCGGGCAGAATGAAATGAAAAGACTGCACAGAGTCAGGAGTGAAGGGACGAAACAACATGAGGTGTTCGAGCAGACTTAAATGGAAACGCGTACAGAATTTGTGGAGGGGCGAAAAAACATGAGGAGTTGGAGGAGGATGAAATGAAATGCGTACAGGGTTGGTGAAAGGGCGAAAAAACACGAGGAGTTGGAGCAGAATGAAATCAACGACCCCACGGCGTTGGTGAAGGGGTGGAAACATGCAAGGAGTTCCAGCAGAATGAAAGTTGAAAACGACGGCGCAGAGTTAGCGAAGGGGTAGAAAAACACGAGGAGTTCGAGCAGAGAATGAAACAATGAAAAGACAGACAGCGCTACTTTGCTCCTGTGCAGGGCGACGCTTCGGCCCTCGCTCAACCGGGACCTCCCTATAGGCTCCGGTAGTATGCATACCGTTAGTACACCGGGACGGCACTGATAGAGCAGGGTAATGGTCACCACCGAGCTACAACAGTGCCGACGACCCTCACTGCCATGCCGTCCTGGTTGTATCGATAGCAGTATCGGGGCCTCGTGGGCATCCAGCTGTGCGGGCCGAACTATATATACATCGCGAACACGAAAAAAAAAAAGCAGTGTTCGGAAGGCGTAAAGAAGGATGGTGCCCCGAATAGACGTTGGGCATCGTTTCACCAAGAGGTAAGTCTTGGAGCCTTTCGGGGCAGAGATGACGACGCCGAAGCTCTCTGAAAAACCTCTCGTGTTTTTGCAAAAGCTGGAGCAATTGCCGCCTGTTCAACGGCACAGCACAGCACGGACTCTTGTCCCTTCGCGTCATCCTCCCAAAAGTCAGTCATCCGTCTATGTAGCTGTCTTTTTTTTTTTTTTCGATTGATAACAGCAGCCACGTTTTCTTTTTGCTTGTTCCACAGCGGTACTGATCATTCCCGAAACAATAAAAAAAACTGAACAACAACGCCCACCTATGGAGCAAACGCCCAGCTATACCCAGGCAGAGCCGAGAAGCCACGATTCCAAATTGCTTTTCCCGCGTGAATCGTTTTCTCCAAGTCCCTTTCTTTGATTTCTCTTTTCGTTCGTTCGTTCTTTTTTTTTGTTTTATTTGGTCCTTTTTGTTGTTGTTGTTGTTCAGGTGTTCGAGGCGGTGACGGCGAAGCTCGAGTCCATCCCCGGGCTCTCTGACCGCGTGCAGCTCTTCCTCATGGGAGACCCCACTCCGCTCACGCCCGAACAGGTGCAGTGCAGTGCAGTGCAGTGCAGTGCAGTGCAGTGCAGTGCAGTGCAGTGCAGTGCAGTGCAGTGCAGTGCAGTGCCCGCCTGTTTTTCCAATTTTCCTTTTTCCACGGGAGTGACAAGCAGCACATGGCTGTGTGTGTGTAGTCGTCTCATGTATACTGGAGGCCAGCTGCTGGTTCTATTTACGTTGTGGTCGCGCGTAAAAACGTTTGTGTTTGGATGTTGGCATTTCATTCGCTCCTTTCGGTGTGATTTCTGGAGGCATCAGCCCGGATCACAAGCGGGACGAAGTCCCCCAGTTCATTGGATTTGTTTCTTGTATGCATAGCAGTCGACGAAGCCAACGGGCTTGATTTTCGACCACTCGCTCCCATGTTTCTTGACATGATGCGCCTAGACGGGCGTGCCGTGATCTAGACTGGGTCGTACGTAGATTATGCGCATGCAGATCCAGCCTGCAATGCTACCCTTCCTCCCGAAACGGAGGCTTTGTTCCCGGTATTTTTTGTTTGTGTATTTTCAGTTTGCGTTTGATTGTTCTTCTTACTTTTACAGGCTCTCCAGATGCGCGCAAGGTTCACGTTGTGAATAGATCTCGTTCACCATCTAACAAAGAGGCCGAAGTCCGTGCGACCTAGACACGGGACGATAACGACGATGGTCCAACCCCCCTTTCGGTAGCGGGGTATTGGATGGCTGCAGCGACGCTTGTGCAGAGTGGACCATCGTTAATGGCAGAGTGTTCCGGGGTCGATAATCCTTCCTGTCGCCCACCCACCGGGGTTCTTATTCTTTTCACCTGCGTGTTGTTAAGCCTTTTTTATTTCCGTTGTTGCGCGTTTTTCCTCGCTTGTCTCGAATGGACCGACCACCAGGCTGTTCAGATGGGCGACAAGCCGGTGGACCCTGTGTTGATGCTGATCTCCAAGGAGGCCAAGCCGGGGCAGACGTCGAAGGTGATCAGCATCAGCGGGACTGCGATCACCTTCATGGGCACGGCCTTTACCGCCTTCGCCTACGGCATCGGAAACTTCGCGCTCCGCCCGGAGTTCTACGAAAAGGTGCGTGTGAGAAGAGGGGAGATTTGATGTTGTTGTTGTTGTTGTTGTTGTTGTTGTTGTTGTCATGTCTGTTGGTGTTGGTGTTGGCGTTGTTGTTGCTGCAAATCTACGTGTACAGTAGCGCCTTTATTTCTTGCCCCAACTGACCTACGGCCCACCAAATCAACGATGACGGCGGACAACGGTTTGTCGCCGTCGAGACGTACGCAAGCATTTCACCAAGCGAACCTCAACGATTTATAGAGGTTGCAACCCCGTCCCTGATTGGTCGCGCGTCACCGCTCCCTCTCCTTCTGCTTCTCGTTTAATAGTCGCTTTTATTATTTTTCTCATTCTTGTTATTTATCGTACTCATCATTTGTTGATGGACCCCCTCGTGTCTGTCCGCATTAACATGTTTTGGCCTGTCCCAGATCAACGAGGGTGACGTCGCGGTGGCGGGAATGGCCCTCCCGATCATGATGGGGGTGCTGACTTTGCAGGTAACTTTTTTTTTTTGAAAGGCATATCTTCAATCACGGAAAGACGATTGTGACCCGTTCGAGAACAACCACAGTGTTGTTCTTCCTCCCCGTCATCCAACGAAAGAACGGTTACACGAATCTTAGCCCACACCTTGTTGCCCCCCCTCCAAAACCTCGACCCCGAGAGTTGGAGCGGCCGTCTCTTGATGGTCCCATTCGACGGATTCAAGTACTCTCGTGCAAGCCCTTCTGCCGCAAGGGGTCGTCTGGCCGGCCCTGGAAGCTCTCGTTTCCTGACGCTCGTCGGGTCTCGTAAAATCTTGGGGGGCGTTTTACCCCCCCTAGGTTCTTACTTCTCGTCGTCTTGTTTTGCTTCCTTCCGGTACGAGCTTCGGCTAGCTCTGAAGCCCCTTGTGGGAGCATCGTGCTTGCTTCTGCTGCGGTTTTGGGTCGTGCTTGGTTTCGTATGTCTCCCTCAACAAACAAGCAACATGGCTATGCATTGAACACGCGCACATACAATTGTGTTTTTTTTGTACTCTTCAACAACGATCACAATGTCTTTTCCATGATTTGCGTGCTGGCGTACCGCCGTTTTGCTTGTGCCTCGGGACGCACGTGAGCGTAGTTCATTCACGAGATCGGTCACCGAGTAATGGCGGGGAACAAGGACATCGAGATGGGACCGCCGATTTTCATCCCGTCCCTGCAGGCGAGTTTACGAAATTCGTACTGCTAGAAAATACTGTATTGCAGATTTGTAAGACTGTATTGAAGATTTGTGATTTTGTCTTTTTAGGTTCGTTTGAGTTTCTCGCTGGGCTCCTGGCGTCAACAACGCGTCAGCTGTGTAACTGCAGCTGTTCGAGCTTGGGAAAGTGTCACTGATGACAGCTGGCAGCTGATTTCCACACCAAGACATGCTTTTCTTTCATCTTGCATCGCCCCTTGATGACTATGGTCTGATGAGCCCACTCCGGAGGCGCGCCCGTGTATGGTGTTGTTTTTCAAAGTAATGCCATTCTACAAAGTTGGGCGTCAGGAGGGGGGCGGGGGGGGGGTGCACTCCCCCGGTATTGTGGGAAAGAAAGTCCTTGCTCGTCAACGTAAGATTGGTGGCACGACGAAACGCCATCACGCACGTCGTTTGTCGTCTTTTGGTTTTGGTTGGAACGTTTGTTCTTGCTGCTTCGGTGCGTGCTGTTGGCGTTGCGGCCGTCTGTAGTACCCGGGAGGGCCTAAACCACAGCAACAGTATGACCACTGGCGTCAAGATTTCCCTGTGCCCCCACCCCCACACGTGATATCGGTAGGATAGATGTGGCAGGGAAAACATTTTTTGACCACCTTTGGCAAAGTAAGAAGGAACGATTGACCATCGGTGATCGACCCTGTACGAACAACACTCCTTCCTCTCGATGACGCGTGGTCTTGAGGACGCGTGGTCAATGGTCTAACCGCTAAGGCATGCAAACCATGAGTACCCCCCGCCCGCCCACGCCTCCTCGCAGACTGGTTTGTTCGGTGCGATCACGCCTCTGCTGTCCTTCCCGAAGAACCGCAAGGACTATTTCGACGTGGCATCGGCGGGGCCCTTGTTGGGGACTTTCGTGTCTTTGGCGGTGTTCGTCGTCGGCATCATGATGACCGGGTCGGCGACTCCTGTGAGCGAACAGAGAGGATGGATGCCTCCGCCGCTTTCTCCGGTGTCTCGTGTGTTATTTTATTTTGTTGGTACAACTATTTTGCGTTAAAGGGGAGTCCCATTATTGTTGTTGTTGTTGTTGTTGTCGTTGTTGTTGTTGTTGTTGTTGTTGTCATTATTGTTGTTCTTGTTAGTTCTTGTTGTTTTTCTTGTTATCGCTCCCGGGCTAGAGCAGGGCGTTTATGACGCCGCCCTTAATCGAGCGACGCACATGAACCACCTTTTCGAAACACTCTCCTCGCCCCCTTTGCTATTCTGCAACATTAAGTTTGCTTGTTCTTGATCCTGTTCGTTACTTTTTTTGGTGCTGATGTGAGCAGGAGGCGCTGGAGATGTTCCCGCTCGTGCCGGCGGGTCTGTTCCACAGCTCTCTTCTCGTGGGGATCATGACCTCCATAGGTCTGCCGAACGTCATGGGGCTGGCGGTCGCCTCGACTGTTCCAAGTGAGGGTGGTGGGAAGTGAAGGAGGGGGGATGGGGGGGGGTGGGGGGGGGTGGGGGGTTCAGGCAGAGGGAGAGGCATGGCGATTCGCGACGAGATCGGAGGGGGTGGGGGGGTGGGGTCCAGTTTTCGTTCGAGAGAGGGGGGGAGGGAGGAAGGAATAGTTTTCTCGTCCTATCGCCGCCCTCTACCCGCCGCATCAGCTCTTGATGCAGACCAGGGGCTTGACCGCCGGTATCCCAACCCCGCGCAACAGTAGCGTCTTCGCTCTCGGTTCCCGAGACTGTCTCGTAGCAGTTCACGATAATACTTGATTGAAAACGATTCACATATGCACTGCTGCGGTCTGCCCTTTCCTGTCTCACGCTGTTGGGGTGCGTCTTGTCGTCCGTGCTTTACCGCTGCTGCACATCGCTACCAATGCGTGTGCGTGCGTGTGCAGTTCACCCGCTGGCGATCGTTGGCGTGACGGGGATAATCGTGAACGCGCTCAACCTGATGCCGATCGGGAGCCTCGACGGGGGCCGCATCGCCATGTCCGCCTTCGGGCGGAAGGCCGGGGGTGTGCTCGGGACTGTCACCTTGCTGCTTCAGGTGACCACTTTGTTGCGTTCGCGCGCCCGCGTGTGCGGTGTGGAGTTGGGCGATGTTGCATCGTCCGCGCTGTGCACGACCGGCTGGTCATCGAACAAATCACACCAATCGTAACACACGAGGACTTGTGTGTGTTAGTGTATGCTTCTTTCGGTTGATGTCAACCGCGCTTACCGGCTGGCCAATGAAAATCGTTCGGTCTCAGTGCGGTTCAAGATGGAGAGAGGCACTCTCTTATTCTCCGTTGGGCGTTTCTACGTTGGCCGCCACAATATGCGTTTTCACGTCGTCCGTCCGTGTTTTGCCGTGCACTTGTTTTTTGCTCCGTGTCTTTCGTTTTTTCGTTCTTGTCCACTCCTTGTCGGGTGGCGCGGCTGATCGCGGCGCCACGTTGTCGGTCATCGCAGGCGATAAGCTCGGTGTTCAACAACTACTCGTTGCAGCTGTTCTGGGGTCTCCTGGTGATCCTCTTCCAGAGGGGACAAGACTTGCCGGCTAAGGTGAGAGCGACAGACCGGCCCCGGGAATGAAACACCAAATTGCTTGTCTTTACAGAAGTGTACCGGCGGCACTTATTCCGGGCATTTTCCGCACAGAACGTCACAGACGAGTTCGGTGGCATTTCCGATGCCTTACAGATATTTGCTGTGAGATCTGTGGCACTTCCAATACCCTACAGAAAACATCTACCATGTTTTTTTGTTTTTTTTTTGCTACAGTTTGCGACCACACTTGAGAAATTGGTTCAAAACTTCATGCTCAACGTTGTTCTGAAGCATAAGAACTTGAGCCTTGAGCGCCACTTGTGATTTAGAAACCAATCTACGACCTATACTATGGCCATCTGCAGCCTAACCCCAGTTCTGAAGAACGCCACCCTCGGCAAAAACTGGAGGTTCGTGTTAAAAGTGCGGGCGCTAGCGGCTCGCTATTGCTCACGGTATGTTGTCGCGGAAGAATCGATTCGATTCGTCGTCGTCAGCAGCCGTAGTTTCTGATTCGGAAACTGTGCGGAAACTGAGGGATAAAAAAAAAAACTAGAAAATAATGTTGACCGGAGATTGTTGACCGCACCCGATTTCTCTCAGCTCGCGAAAGCTACGAGCACGAGATCGCGGCGGTGCCTTTGCCTTACCTTAGAACTGCACTGTGTTCGATGCCCTTGTCTTTGGTGCATCTCCCTCATCGGATCATGATGTACAAGCAAAGTTTGTGCTAGGGGTGGACGCAAACTGCAACGCATGGAACGGGTGTGTGTAAATATCCCGTCACGCGCCCTCCAGGGGCTGTCGCTGGGTTTGTTCTTGCCCCATGTGCACAACTCGTTTCCAAAACGCTGCAACTTACCTTTCGGCATGATTTGGCTTTCAATTGGCAAAGTAAACAGCTCCCGAAAACGAGCATCGAAAGGGCTACGTGTGCATCCCTTCACATTGGGCTCTTCAGCCTTGTAGGCGACCAGACGGTATGCGCAAACCTGCATCTCCACAACCTTGATTTTTTGTTGTTTTTCTCCTGGCCAGCGTTACAGAAGCAACCATATTGCCATTGTACAACAGTTCTACCTGGATCTAATTTGAACATTCAATACCCCGTGCTTTCTACTGCTCTAGCGTGCCTGTGTGCGGAATACTCGGTAGAAGACTCGACCGCAGAAGACGTACACACCCGAAGACTGTAGATTTATATTTTCCCAGCACACACAACAACCAACGGCACATTTTTTTTTTGGGGGGGGGGATGGCTCAAGTTGCAGCAACTTGCACGTTGCTCTTCGTTCCAGGGCTATGTACCCACACCCGCAACACCACAAACGCCGCAAACCCTCCCACGGTTCTGCGTTCTCCATCATTCATATCACCTGCCGCACCAATGCCTCCCAAAAAGAAGACCGCCACGCCCAACAGGACGACCCCCCCAGAACAAAGCGACAACGCTTCTCATCCTGGTGGAACAGATACCACGAGGCAACCGTTTATTTCGGCATCATCTCCGCCAAATCCAGTCAGTTCCGGAAACAGGTTCGCTCGATCCCCCCGGGTGCGCGACGACGAGTCCACCTATGTCCACTTCGACAAATGTTCGACGACAACGTCAGTCGCTTTCCGGTATCCGCGCCGAACGAGTGGTACGTATGCGTCGCGCCAATGACGCCGCCAAAACGAAGTGTGATGAAGCAGCCAGCATAAGTACACTCGAGGAGGGCGCGTCGGAGGCAAGCCTTTTCTCAGGAATGCCGTCGTATCCAAGTGGGTTCCTCCAAAAACGTTTCCTACGCCCACGCCGACCCCGATCTCTGCAACCCACCGGACGCCCATACCGGCTCCTGGGCCACCCGCAGAGCGACCGACAACGAGCTCTTCCATGTCAAGTCAACCGCAGGTGACCGTGACACCGCGGAGATACAGTTTATGCGTAAGATGCTTCGATCGAAAGAGAAACACGATCCTCCGCGCCGCCCAGACTAACATGGCTGCAGGTAGAACGGCGTCCAGGTCGTCCCATGAGAATCGTTTGTCGGATTTTCGCATGATCTGTTCACGCATGATTTGTTTGATCCGCAGGAGACAGATCGGCGAGTGCTCGTAAGATCATGCCTAGCTCCGATACAAAAAATCTCATGGGGCGACCTGGACGCCGTTCTACTTGCAGCCATGTTAGTCTGGGCGGCGCGGAGGATCGTGTTTCTCTTTCGATTGAAGCAGCTTACGCATAGACTGTATCTCCGCCGTACCGGTACCGGCGTCCTGTGGGTGACAGAGATCGGGGTCGGCGTGGGTGTAGGAAAAGTTTTTTGTAGAACTCATTTGGATACGATGGCATTTCTGAGTAGGGGCCAACACCTGCCCCGAAAAGCGCAACAGGAAAAAGGCCAACACCGCCACTCCGACCGTGAACCCAACGAAGCCACCCCTCCCGGCCCAAAGCCCCGCCAAGTCCAACTAACCCCCCACGGAGGACAACCGGCAGCAGCCCAACCAGCAGGGTCCCCCAAAGAAGCCCCGCGGCGGAAGAAAGCAACATCCTCGTATTTCCCACGAAACGTCGATAACAGCTGCTGTGTTTAGCCGGTCCACCCAATAGTCGGTGCTTCTTGCGGCGATGTCTGGCATTATTAAGAGTCTCGTACCAGCCCCCCCCCCCCCCCCCCCCACCCCCCCC